AAGACCTACACACTAAAACTAAAATTTATAAAATAATATACATAAYAATATAACATATACATGATAATATATATTATGTATATCAATTAAAAAAATAAAAAATGTAACTTTTTTACAAATTTACATGATGGAGAAAAGAAAATATCAATAGCGAGCAGTGTTGCCACATTTCCAAGGCCGACGTGTCCAAACAAAATGCAGAATTGCCAAGCTGTTTTTCAATTTTTTTTTTTGAAACATCGATTTCTCGACGTAATACGTAAATGAAGTACAAAGCGCGTTCAACATGAACTATAGGTTATAGCACAGAACAATGGTTATAGGTATACAGTTACTAATGTTACTATAATATAGTTTTACTATTTAATGGCTCGACATGATTGCCAAATAGCAGTAATAAGTAATGAACTAATGAACATGACTTGGTACTGGTCAATGGGTATTGAAAATAATATGATAAAAAGCAAATAGCCCAAAAAGATCGACCGTCGCGATATTACTTACAATTTTACTTGATAGATTTAATTTATCATTCTACTTTACTGTTTACTAGTTATCCCTCGAAACTTGATGATGACATTAAGTGAAATCAGAACCTTAATCGGCTTAAACTGTAACTTACTCGATACTTCTAAATTCTTGTATGATACGAAGTTCTGTAATAAGTGTTGGGTGTTTCTACTTATTGTTAGGACTTATCGACGCTACTTACAACATACTTGTATGTAAGATGGCCTCTAAAAAATATTTTTGGGACTATGACCTTCACTATTACTTACCAGTTACTGGTAGTTTTTTCACCATACAACAAAAATCAAATTAGGTACTTATAATTATTGTTATATAGCCTTTTTTTTTCTTCTTTATTTGTAATACACAATCTGTACACAATCGGCACAATAAGAGTATGAGCTAAGACAATAAAAAACATGAAATTATGGGCTAAGAAGCCACCCACCGATGACACTTATGTTTTTAAATTATTTGTTTTAACTTAATTATTATTATTAAATATTATTTTTTTTTAGGGGTTAAGTAGGTCTCTGCGATTTGCCTAATAAATAACCCCGGAAAAAATATCCCCGGAAAAAATAACCCCGAAAAAAAAACCCCCGAAAAAATAACCACGCGAAAAAATAACCACGGAAAAAATAAACCTATAATAAAAATGATTTGTAAGTAATAAAGTATAAATTTGTAAAACAATGTCAATAATATATAAATAAAAAATTCTCATTATAAACGTGGAATACAATACAATTTGTCAATTTGTCAATTTATATAATATAATAATTTGGTTGTAAAGTATAAATTTGTAAAATAATGTCAATAATATATAAATAAAAAATTCTCATTATAAACGTGGAATACAATACAATTTGTCAATTTATATAATATAATAATTTGGTTTTAAATTACCGAATTATCACATTACATTAAATTTAAGATAAAGTTAGTACTGTTAGTAGTACCTTCCTTATCCGTTATAATATGTCACTGTACCTAGCTATTGTAGGTATATCTGATCGATATGACAGACAGACCGTGCTTTTAATCGTTTTTATCGTAGGTATACAATAATTTATCATTAAATCCAAAATTAATATTATTTGTGGGAACATAACAATTGTACGTAGGTAATAGGTATGTTATACATTTAGATTTGAGATTAATTTGAAAACTTATATTAACTTATATTATGGGGTTATTTTTTCCGTGGTTATTTTTTCGCGTGGTTATTTTTTCGGGGTCTAAATTTCCGGGGTTATTTTTTCCGTGGTTATTTTTTCGCGGTACCGGTCTCTGCACCATTTACGCTTGAGGCGACGAGGGGGATTACCAGGAATGGTTAAAGAAGCCAGATTTCTTACAAGTTCGTTTGGATGATAATTGAGGCGTTGGTGAAATCGTTTGTAATAATTTTTTGCTTCTTCCTGAATTGTTTTCATATGAAGGTCTTTATGCAGGGAGTGATTTGAGACATATAGTGGAGAGTTGGTAATTTTTCTTAGAATTTTGTTTTGGAAACGTTGAATTTTATTTAAATTTGATATTTTTGCGTTGCCCCACAGCTGTAGGCTGTACGTCCAAATTGGCATTAAAAGAGATTTATAAAGAAGTAGTTTAATATTTAATTTAGAGTGTTTGTGTTATATAGCCTCAATAATTTTTTTCAAACTACAAATAATCTAGGTACCTACCTAATTTCTTCATTTAAACAATGGTCCAAATGTAAATTTTACGAATAACCTTTTTATTTAAAAAGTAAAACAAGTTATTTTCATTGTGGAAACTCCACATCATATTTTTACATGGAAATATCAAATAACAAATTGGGAATATCCAGATATCTTGCACTCCATTTTATTTGAATTGAAAAACTAAAAATGATAAACTCGACAATAATAAATAAATAAAAAATATAGATAAAACAGTAAAGCACACACTTGAATAGAACATATTGTGTTTATGCCGTGTATTATAAACGCGCTATGATGATTCTCGAACATGAGTGAAATTTTAATAATCACTAATCACTTCCTTTTGGCCAAAAAAGTAGAATGCTTAACCCATGGGTCCATATCAATAACTTTTGTTCTTACGAAAAAAAATATTAGACGGTACATTTTATTGTTCAATACATATTTAGAAATTTTTTAATATCCATGATTTTAAGAATCAAAATGTTATGCTGTTACCTTTTGCTTTACTTCTTGATAAAAATAAACATAAATACAGCACATTATTTTTAAGCTTAAAGAAATTTGGTTGCAAAATAATTAACAATTCCAACCAGTTACAGTTGTGGTGGACTTTGAAGGTACTATTCATAATGCATTCGAAATATTTTATCGACACTGTAAATTTGTCGTTGTAATTTTCATTCGTGTCACAGTTCGTACAGAAAAATCCAGCATTTAGGCCTAAATTAAAATAATGATGAATCTGAAATCAAAAATTTTTAGTTCACACATTCAGTTTACCATTCTTGCCTGATGCTAATGATATTGCTTTGTATAGATTTATTAGAACATTCAAAATATAGTAATATACCGTCTGACGATAAAGTATAACAATATTGTAACTTTATATCTGAAAACTATATTTTTTCGTATTCAGTATCTCCTCCAAAATCATGGTCTTCTAAAGACTACTAATGCAATTATACATGTGAATCCATTCATTTGAGATATATAATAATAGTTTTTAATTTTTATTATCATCATCCAAATCTCCATTCATTCATGAGTTATGAAAGATATATATACCAAAACATAAATTAAAATTGGAAGTATTCATAAAACATACACAGACAGAAATAAAACAACATCAATATGAAATTATACTCACACAAAAATTCAAATAACTTAATTGTATATAACAATATTAACCTACCGGAGGCTAATGGCCTTGTTGTTAAAGCCTAATTATCAATAATAAAAAAATTTTAAATATAGGTACACAAAGAAAATTGAAGGAGAATGTTAGTTTATCTCCAATGTTTGCCATAAAACTGAACATAAATAAATATGACTAGTTTTATTATTTTGATTAATCTTAATATGATTACCTACACTTTGAGTTTTTAATTGTGTAGCTGAATTTATTTTTGTACCAATATATAATAATGTATTGAACAACAGATATTTTTAGTATTAAAAAAACATATTTGTTTTTAGAATAATTTTAAGTTTTAATTATATACCTTAGTATTTTAAATGTTTTATAATATACAGGAGGACGGGGAAACAAAAATTCTATATTTTTTTTTTTCATATCCCAACTTCCAAAGTAATTTTTATTAAAATGTAGATCTCAGTTGCTACCAATTACATAATTATTATGAAAACTGTTTAACAACTAACTATAAAAACTAACAAAACAAACATTTTAGGACTTGTGTGACTTGACTTAAAATATGTTATTAAATAAGTTACAAATTAATAACAATTAGAATGTCATATAATTATTAACTACATAGAAACAATTCTGATCTCTCTTTGAGATGCAGAAATTTCAATGTTTTAATGCAAATCAAGGTACCATGCTTACTCCTTAAAAATATCAAATTCTAGAGCGAATAAATCTCAAAAGAATTAACAGTCTCATATCTCTGAGTATACGATAATTGTAAATTATATCAAATATGTATTGAATAATTATCAGAAAGTGTCTTTCAAAAAATGTACATATTTTGTTAATACAGAATAGAAAAAAAAAAATGAATAAATTAGACATTTCATAACCAAGGATTTATTGTTTATTAAATAATATATAATGTTAAAATTACTACAATATGTATATATTTATAAATATATAAATATATGTATAAATATATTATATATATTATATAAATATGTTTTTTATATTGTAGTAGTACACAAAATGTTTATCTACCAAGTTCGGAGGGATTAAACTCATAATTTTAAAGATAGGATATTAATTATCAATGCATAATTTGAGTTGTTAGATAATAATTGTAAAAAAAAAAAAAAATGTATAGTTAATAGAAGTTGTATTAAAAAAAATAATAATATATTATATATTTTATATATTATATTTATTTGAAAACATCAAATATGGTGTGAAATGGAGCCAAGTCGTTTTTACTTGTTAAAGATTTTTAATTCATATTTTAAAAATGTTCTTATGTTCTTATTTTGTAAAACAAAATAATTCACAAAAAAACAACAAAATAAAATACAATATTATAACTGTTCCATAAAGCCAGATAACCAACCTAGTGGTATTTAAATTGAGAATTAATACACATGTACATATTTTAAGTTTTAGAAATAGAACATTGATTTTTTTTTAACAATATTGTTGATGATTAGGAACTAAAAAAAAGCGGGCATTATCATAAATATATTTTTTTGAAAATTATGGCTCCAAAAATGTATATAAAAAAAATGAATAAATTAATTAAAATTATAAAATACTATACATATTTATATTTTATTACATAAAATATAATAACTAAGGAAAACTGTTTTAACTTTTTGTTTAAACTTTTTTTTTTTAAAACATATCTTTATTTACATTGTTAAAAGTTTATGTGTATGGATCTGTCAATTATGTTTCCCCCCTTTTCATTAACACTTCAGCATTCTATTATTTTCTTTCTTTTTTTATTAAGAAAAACAAACTGTAATTGGTTTTTTTTCTTCATATAAACATTTTCTAAAAACTATGTTTTACCCTACATGGGATCGGTTGATGATAACGGCTTCTTCACGGTCTTCTGGTGACAATTCCTTGTCTTCCCATCCCCAAATGCTACTATGAGTTCCATCACCAGTTCGATCAACACGTTTGCGTATCATGTCCATAGATACTGTTTTCAAGTCATAAGCCCACCCTATTTTAGAAAAGAAATCTATAAACCCAGTAGTTAAATTAGCACGATAATTTCCCAATTCTGCTGCTTTGTAGTCCCATGGAAATACATGATGATAGTTGTGCCATCCTTCACCGAGAGCACCCAATGCTACACCAATATTTTCAGAAGGATTGATAAATCTGCAAACAAAAATTAAGTTTAGACTAAAATGTATTTTCTACTAACAAATTTATACATTTCTTTCAATTGTATTCAGCACTGATTTCAACTTTTTTTTAAAATAAGCAGAATTAGTCATCATATTCGCATTTCAAATTTTTTATCAAAAACTGTTTAGAAATATAATCATTTTATTATTTCATGTCCCACCATAATTTTAGTAATTTACAAAAACAAAAAAATATTTATCACTTCTTATTCTAGAGCAGAATACTTTAGGAGAAATTTAAAAAAATTGAATTTTGAATACTTTTTATAAATTTTAAGTACTTATTTAAAGTTTAATGAGCAGTAATAAAATGTTGGTCCATAACACCACTTGTTTAAACTTGAAATTAATTATGTTAACTAATTAACTAATAATTTGAAATATTAAAATACGCCAAATTATCTTTTTTTTTTCATTTTTATGCATTATATTTTGTAATATTAAATTGATACCTACTTTCTAATAAATATTTTTTTGTGAGCTTATAAAATTAATAATCGTCTTTATTATTATAAAAGGAAATTTATTTTTTTGGATTATTTCACTATTCTACAGATTACCAATTTGTTGTTTGTCATTTTATAAAATGCCTAGTTATTATACAGAATATTTAGGAAAT